GAGCAATGTGAAGTTCAGTGGTTTTAAACAAGGCAGAATGTGCTAGAAAGTGCTATCAATGGACTGTTGTGAAATAAAAGCCTGGTTAGGTAGAAAATAAAACATTTTGAGTTTCTAATTTTTTTTTACGGTTTTAAGGATTCAGTAGTCAGTACAGAACTTAATCGTACCTGCCAACATCCCAGCAAACAATTTTGTGAGTATTAGATGCCTAGAACTAGTTGGTGGCGTCAATGTGGGATTGTGGCGGTTTTTGTGGTGTTAGTAAGTGACCGGTGTCCTGACATTTTATCCTGCCCATCAGATAATGCTACCAACACTGTATATAAATGGTTCTGAGGTTGTGGTTAGGTCAGGGATTAGGTGGGTTAGGGTAATATTACAGCTTCGTACCATACTACTACACAATAAAATTTATCTGATGGATGGCATATTGAGTCATCAAAATGTGCTTCCTACTTTTTGAATGGAGGTAGAAAAAAAAGTGTCGGAACACCGGGTTTCAGGCAATCAGATACTATACCAAATTATTATAGGAATTATGGGAATTATGGAAGTTTTAAGCAGGACAGGAGAAATACCAAAATGGGAGGGTGGCGGGAGATAAGACTGAAATACGGGAGACTCCCCAGAAAAACGAGAGTGTTGGCAGGTATAACCTTAATAGGTAGCCACTCTAGAGAAAATCAAATTTGTATGAAAAAATCATATTTTATAAACCCAAGAACACTCACAGCTGTATTCTGAACTAACTGTAGCATGTTAAAAGATGATGCAAAACAACATTGAATTATCCACACTGGATTTTTTGAACTAGCAAAAGGTTCTTCTTTAGTGTTTGGAATGCATAAACCCTCATATATATATATATATACTGGAAGGTTTAATACACAAGTCAAAAGAAACATGGTAATTCTCAAAAAAAATTATATATATATATATATATATATATATATATATATATATATATATATATATATATATATATATAATTTTTTATATATATATTTTTTTGAGAATTACCACATGTTTCTTTTGACTTGTGTATTAAACCTTCCAGTGCACTGTACAACATTGGGATTAACATGAAGCTGAAAGTCTCTGTAAAACTTATCCCTGTTGTTCAGCGATGGCAAGGTGGATAAAGGTTATTAGTCACGTGTGTATAGAGACAAGAACAGAACACAAGCCATTTTGTAGCCAACAGCCTGTCAGTATAATTGGACCCATGCAACACATTTGAAGTCCTTTAAAAATTCAACAGTTGTTTGATGTGAAAAATCAGCAGGTCTAAAATAAACGATTGCGTGACCTGAGTCGCTCCTCATGTTCTGTATGTAAAGACAGGGACTGGATCTTGCCTTTTGACAGTCACACAAACTCAAAGTCTTGTATCCCTGGAAACTGTTGCCAGGGTAATACTGCTGTGAATGGCAGCTATTAGCGCTGAGTCAGTGTGAGGAAAGTGCTGTCACTATCTGGCCCTGATACAGAGACCAAACAGATGAAGACCGGCTTTACAGACACACAGAGCAATTGCTCAAATCTGGGACACAAACTTTCCCATTTGCATCAAGTATACGATCAATCAAATGTTTCAATTGCACTTACTGAATTCAAGTATAATCAGAAATACAGACATAAAAGGACCCAGAGGATCATTTAAGTAGAAAATGCTCAGAAATGACAGATGAAAACACTTGGGTTCACATCAAATGTAAAAATTTTTCATCTACTCACCTTCATGTCATTCTAAACAAACAAAAACACAAAATCACAAATCAAATTGTTCTCTGTGCTTCCAGTCGTCACTCAAAACTGACCCTTCAAAATGTACATTAAAACTTTTATGAAGAGGCAGGATACCTTTTATTCAAATATTACATATAGCACTAAATTTAAATTAAATATTATAATCTTGTCTATGGTCATGAGCTTTGGGTCATGACCGAAAGGACAAGATCTCGGATAGTGGCCAAAATGAGTTTCCTTCGCCGGGTGGCAGGGCACACCCTATAGATAAGGTGAGGAGCTCTGTCACCTGGGAGGAGCTCAGAGTAGAGCCGCTGCTCCTCCACACTGAGGGAAGCCAGCTGAGGTGGCTCGGGCATCTGTTTCGGATGCCTACTAAACGCCTACCTAGGAAGGTGTTCCAGGCATGTCGCATCAGGTGATTTTTACCATTTTTCTAACTTTTTGTAGGCTACATTATATAATTAGGACGCCATTGCCACTAGTCCATTTGCGCTTTAAAACACAAATTTTGTCCACACTACTTCAGTACCTTCGACAAACAAAAATGGAGCATTTTGAAATTTAATTATTTTACGTTTTGTTAATTTACTGGCTAATTGGTACAAATTTGTACGAGTTCTGTCATATGAAAATGTGAAATTATTTATAGAAGGCATGGCACCGAACCCAACCCCTAAACCCAACTGTCATGGGGGAATAAGCAAATTATACTAAATTACGCAAGAGACCAGCTCTATACCCTCACCAGGGGGCTTGAGAGTTCAAGGGAGTATGCCCAACCAGTCCACATTTGTGGACTTGGAGAAGGCATTCGACCGTGTCCCTCGTGGCATTCTGTGGAGGGTGCTCTGTTAAGGGCTGTCTCGTCTCTGTATGAGCAGAGCAGGGGCCTCATGTACGAAGACTTGCGTGGAAATCTTACTAAAACATTGTGTACGCACAAAGCTTTAAATGTGCGTACGCAGAAAAAATTTCAGATGTATGAAACACTGCGTACGCCGAATCTCACGCATATTCTTTTGTACATCTGAATGAACGTGAAACTGAGCGCAACATGCACGAGCACAAAACCCCTCCCTGCCTCCTCCCCCGTATGAATATGCTAATGACTATGCTAATGGAAAAACCCAACGAAAAAACAATGGCAAAAGCAAGCAAAAAGAGAAACTTTGAACAGAATGTGAATTGGAGGTGCTGCTTTCGGAGGTAGACAGGAGAAAAGCGGTGTTATTTGCAAGTTTGTTCTCCGAAATTAACAACAAAAGGAAAAAAAAAGAGTGGGAGAGTTTGGCTGATGCGGTTAACACAGTTGGGTCTGAACATATCGCACTGAGTGCATTAACAAAAAGACATAGTGTGGTTTATATCTGTAAAGTGTTGCATGACACTCAACAGTCTCAGTGGCGCGCTCGTTAGACGCATGTGATCATGAATTGATACGTTCGAGCATGAACTCGGCTCGATTCCAGCGTCTGATGAACTCTTTCTTGTTTTTTCCCCCGCTACATATCAGATTTTGCCTACTATTTATCACGAGAAAGACAAGTAGGAATTATCAATAAGTTCATATCAATAAGCATCATATTTTATTTGCACATTTATTGAATGGAAATGTTTCTGATTCACGCATGTAAATTCATCTTCAGATAGTGTCTTTATAGCAATGTGCGTTCGGTAGATCGCTCAGATTACATTGGGAAAACAGGCGACTGCTGCAAATTGTGCTTTAATGTTTAGCTGGTCAATTGTATGGTATGGAAACCTTATATACCTGCTGAACCCGTCTCATACAGCTGCCATTGCAAGGCTCAGACACTTTGTAGAGAGGAATTTAACACAACTGCCTCTAGGAGTCGCCAATGGAAATAAAACAGACACGCACAAAAAATGTGCGTACGCCTGCCAGAAAGCTGCCGTGAAGCTGCGCACATTCCCACGTTCAGTTCATTGTTAGTAAATCCAAACGTGAGCGATTCTGAGCGTGAAACCTGGCGTACGCAAAGTTTTTGTGCGTACGCAGCGTTGATACGTGAGGCCCCTGGTGTTTGGTTCGCAATTCCAGCAATAAGTCAAACTTGTTTCCAGTGCATGTTGGACTCTGGCAGGGCTGCCCTTTGTCACCAATTCTGTTCATAATTTTTATAAACAGAAATTCAAAGCGCAGCCATGGGCTGGAGGAGGTCTGGTTTAGGGACCACAGGATCTCATCTCTGCTATTCGCAGACAATATTGTTCTGTTGGCTTCATCGAACATGGACCTTCAGCATGCACTGGGGCAGTTTGCTGCCAAAGGTGATGTGGCTGGGATGAGAATCAGCACCTTCAAGTTTGAGGCCATGGTGCTCCACTGGAAAAAGGTAGGTTGCCATCTCCAAGTTGGAGCAAAGTCCTTCCCCCAGGTGGAGGAGTTCAACCATCTTGCAGTTTTGTTCATGAGTGAGCAAAGGATGAAACACGAGATTGACAAGGGGATCGGTGCAGTGGCAGCAGTAATATGGTTGATGTGCCAGTCCGTTGTGGTAAAGAAGCTAAGCCAAAGGCAAAGCTCTCGATTTACTGGTCAATCTACGTTCCTACTCTCACCTACGGTCATGAGCTTTGGATTATGACCGAAAGGGCATGATCTTGGATACAAGCAGCCAAAATGAGTTTCCTTCACAGGGTGGCAGGGCACACCCTTATACATAGGGTGTGGAGCTCTGTCACCCGGGAGGAACTCAAAGTAGAGCCGCTGCTCCTCCACACTGAGAGAAGTCAGCTGAGGATGCTTGGGCATCTGTCTCGAATGCCTCCTGGACACCTACATAGAGAGATTCAGCTTTCCAAAATCACTCTCTGATCCATCTTCTCAAACATATCGTGCCATTCCCTGATTCGTTAACCCCTCTCATAAGATCATTAAGCAACTGGTAGATGACAACTATGGATACCAGCAAAATATGCACACATCCCCAGTGAGTGTGAAAGGTCACATATGGGCTTTAGACAGAGCTAGTTTTTCTGAAACACAATAATGCCGGTCTGGACAATGATTTTTTTATTCTAAAATGACATGTAAAAAAAAAAAAAAAAAAAAAAAAAAAAACTAGGGTAAACTATACTTAAATGGGACTTTTAAAAACCTGTTATTGGATGGACATTTTTCATTTTTTTTAATTGGCATGAGGGTAAGTAACTGATCACAGAAATGTCATTTTTGGCTAAACTATTACTTTTAAGTCTTCAGTAAAACTCAGACAATGAGCTTAAGTGAGCAAAACAGTTTAATTTTTGTTGTATCCTCGACAAGTAATTATTTGTGCCTCATCGAAAAGATGGAAATGGAAAAGGCTTCACTTTGCATTTCTTACATCCTCAGATTTTGAATTCCTTTCAAAGCGCCACACAACAAAGTCCTTCAACAGAGTCATCTCAATACAGAATACTAAATATCACAGCTTCCAGACTTTATATGCTTCATAAAGAGTCTCAGAAAAAAAATCACAAGCATTCAAAAAACACTTCCAGACCCACCACTGAAGTAACTTGAGTTCCAGCATAACAACAGAAAACAGTTCATAAAAAACACCAATGTCTAAACACTTCTCTCTTAAGCTTCGCATCAATCTGATACTTTCGAATGTTTTACCTTTTTTGTTTCAATTTTTTTTGACAAATCTGATATTCATAACATGGAGAATCCCTCTGCAGTGTTTACTCAACAGCGAAGAATCAACCAACCAGACACTATAGTACATGACAGAATCAGAAAAAGAGCCAGAGACAAAGAGACATTTACAACCTTTAAATAAAGTATTAATCAGTAGTACATCATTGATCTGATCTTCTTCCAGACAATGGCAGATCCAGACAGTTGTGTCCTAAATTCAAGTGGCAAGAGCTGTACTATTCGAACAGCGAGAAAAGTGACTAAAGATTTTTGAACTGACTCCCATGACCCTCCTTTAGACAGCAGATGGGTTCTAGAGCAGGTCGGGCAGGATGAGACCTGGCGGCTTGGGCTCCACACAGTTAATCCAGAAGTTGGCACAGCTGGCGTGGTACTGGTGACCTCCGTACATCAGCTTGAAGTTGTCCGTCTCTGAATTGAAGGCCTGCAGAAGATGTATGAAAGGAATGGTGAAAATACATTTTTTTTAAAAAAGTGGAACTTGATGGTAGGGTCGGGATGGAGATTGATTTATTAAGACCTTATTAAGTAGTTCCTAAGGTTGTACTCCACATATTCAAATTTTATGCATAAAGGTTTAATTAGAAATTGAACAAAAGGAGTTGTTAATTTTCATAAGGGTGAGGAAATTAAAAGCCAATTTTCTTTTAGGTGAACTTCTACAAAGACTATAGAATACACAAAACATGTCGCCCGTACAGTTATGAATAGGGAAAAGTGTAACAGTCAATATAGTGAATGAAGCCCCGCCTTCTAGTACAGGTGCCAATCATTGATGGCTATAGACTGATGATTCTCCGGGGGAGGGGCTTAGCTCCAGATGTGAGACGTGGGCAGATTTTGTTTGATTCAAATGTTTAGAAATAAAACTAAAGACAAAGTTGTTGTTTAATTTCATCAAGGATTCCTAATATGAATTTTTATTGTAAGCTTGGCAAGCAGTTTTGAGAATTTTCCCCATTCAAATAAAATTTCCAAGCATACTGCCTGAGAGGCGTTACAAAGATGGCCGTTGTGTGAAATTACTTGCCTTAAAGTGTTGTTGCTCGATTAGATGCGGCTGCGATCGGAAGTTAACGAGAATTATTTATATCGTTATGGCCGTAGCCATATATTGGTTGTATTTTTGCCTCCCGTTCTCTCTCTCTGTGCCTGTCATTTCTGTTAAGTCCGCCTTCATGACAGCTGATTGGTCAGGAAACTGGTCCATCATCATTGGGCGATGTGGTGCGGTCACATAAAAAGGACGTCAGGAAGAGCGGAGAGAAGAGCGCATTTTTCTTTTGATCCCATTTTTGTTTAACTTTCGTTGGGGTAAAATTATTTTGCATTACTTTTGCGCACTTGAAGAACGTGATTTTTGTACATTTTTATTTTGTTGGATTTGTTTCTTTGTTTTTGGCCCAGCTCTTTCCCATCAATACTGAGCTATACCACATTAAGTTCACTCTTTTCTTAGAGTAAGGTGGAAAGGGGAGATGTTGTATGGTTTCCATTATGCAAACACATAGAAAATTTATTGTTAAAGACACCAAGTACCTGGTTTTTATCCATTATACAGTTGAGTATAGGGAAGAATACGGCGCTAAAGAACTTTTCGTTTATTGGCATATGTTTCTAGCGAGGTAAGGGGTCATTCATGAGTTTTCTTTCTTTTGTTTGGCTTCACTACCATCCCTTACTCCTTAGTGGAACTTATTTTTGTTTGATACTTTGTTTGAACTTGCTACTTTATTATATTATTTTTATTGTTGTAAATATTTATTTTTTGTATATATATTTGGGCATTATTATGGCTTTCACTTTTGTACATCATTTTTGTTGGCATTTCCGCTGTCCGTGTCTTTTGCTTACACCATCTCAATTTAAAATTACCATACCTTTAAATGTTATTCCTTTTTACCCTAGACTAACATCAAAGATGTTGTAAAAAATATTATCTATTAAATTTCCCATTTATTGTATTTTTAACGCCTTCTCCCACCCCAACCCTAAACCCAACCCAACAGTACTGTAAAAATATAAATTAATGTTATACAGTGTCATAAAAAATGCTGCTATATTAATGTGCATACCGCACTTCGGGCCGGTGGTGTGTCCGATCTAGATATTCCCGACTTTAATAATACAACCTACATTTGTTTGTTTTTGAAAGAACTCATCCAAAAATAGCTGTTACAGCATTGAACCCAGTAAAATGACTTTTTAATTTAAACAAGTGAGCAAGATCTCTATTAGACTCAACAGGTATTAAATTGAACCTAAATGTTAAATCTGAAAATCAGACAGATATATGGCATACCATCACACTCCATGAAAGAGACAAGAGCTTAACGATGTGATGACATAATTTGCAGAATCAATGGAGGAAAAAGTGTGCAATCCACCCACACATGCCCTATATATAGTAAAGCGAAATAAAGAACCCAGTGAACTTCACTCAATACATCGAGGTGAAGCGTGCGAGCGTGCTTTCCTTCTGAAAGGCACAGCTGTAGTCGTGCATTTGTGATAAGGCAGTGATGATATGGATGTTATGCAGAATGAAGCTCTGATGAAAAATGCGAGCTGATGCTGGAAGGAGAAATGACTCATGTTGTGAATCATGTCCTCCCACACTTATACTATGAACGCGCACGCTCCATTTCAAACCTCTTTCATATGCTCAATAAACACTGTTGCCCTGTTTAAAGGATGTGTGCTGAACAACAACAAAAATCAAAAAAGGGGTTCTTGATGTTTATTTTGTGAGTGCTTTAGTGTGAAGACTTACATCTAACAACTAACAGAAATCACTGCATGTGATAATACTGTAGGCCTTCTGTATCCTTCTCCTGCCACCCAATCTGGAAATACCCGTTTGAATCCCTCCAAGGCCTTAGCAAGTATAACCAGAGGGTTGGTGCCATGAACCAGGATAAGAGTGAGGTTTTTAGGGGAGAGTTTATCAAGAGCCAGCTAGTAGTTGTTGTTCATGTATATTTCAAGTTAGTGTACCCGCCTCCCATGCCAGAAAAACTGGTTTGAATCCCACTCAAAGCATGGCACGTTGAATTGGAGGTGTTACACTGGTGCAGTGACCCGGATGAGAGTGACATTTTGTGGGCTTAGTATAACAGAGACTAGCTAGCGGTTAGCAGCAAAACAACAACAACATGTTAGTGAACCTGCTTCACATGCTGAAAACAATTTGTTAAACCGAAATGATGCAAGAGGGTTGAATTAGTGGCATTATACAGCTAGAAATCAGAATATCTGTGCATTGCATGCACTACCAGAAATAATGTGGCGTTATTTAGAAATGGAGGAGTCACGTTGGTGCCGTGACCCGGATGAGAGTGATTGTATTGGAGGCTCTCTCCTCGGAAAAGTTGTGCAAAAAGACCTCATATCAAACCTACCTCGTATACCAGAAACAGTTGTTTCATGGTGAGTGCAGAACAATCAGAACTAGAAGGTTATACTGGTGCTGTGTTTCAAAGCTAGAAGCAGTGAACTTTGCTTTTCTGTCCTCAAGTGATCTGCTTGCAACTGGTGCTATGGGCTGCAATCATTAACCTTCTTAGCACACTAGTCTACCATTCTAGGGGACTAGAACCGAAGAAGCTACTTAAGCAAAGTGACCTGAATGGGAGTGAAGTTTGGGGGGCAATTAAACCAATTTAGTTGGAGTTGTGCTAGTAAATCTCTCATGTTGAGGCATCTCCTGGATACAATGACTTAAATCCCACTCAGAACAAGAGTGTTACACTTGGTGGGGTGAACTGACTGGGAATTAAGTTTGTGCAAGTAATCCTCATGTTAGTGCACCATATCTCATGTAAGAAATTCCAATTTAGATGTGGAGAAGTTACATTTGTGCCATGACCTCAATGGGAATAATGATTAAGGGAGAAAAGTAAACCACCTCACATTCGTGCACCTGCCCTGCCATATCGAAAAGTCTTGTTTGAATCATGATCAGAGAATGATGAACAGAACTCAAGGGGTAAAACTGGTGCATTGACCCTAAAGAGAGCGAGGTTTAAGGAGAGTCTAACGAAGGCCAGCTAGTGGGAGATCTGTGAACAAAACTAATTGCCCTGGCCTCAAGAAGCATGGTAACAAATGATGTTCTTTGTTAGCGTAACACCCTCCCATGCCAGAAATACTGGTGAAAATCACCCTCAGCACACGACATGTAGAACAGGAAAGGTTACAGTAACACAGCTAATGCCAACCAAATATATATGGCAACACGATCCCCAATTAAAGGTTGTTTTTTAGCAATGGGAACATGCACAACATATTAGCTGTGTTTCTATCCAAAGACGCAAACTAAACTTGTGCGTAAAATTGGAAAAATTTGACAAAACAGCAGTTTCCATCCAATTTGTCAAAGAAATCAAATTCGTCATTTCCTGATAAGCTGGCACCAAATATCAAAAAGAAGAATAGAATTTGCGGCAATAAGAGAAGACACAGTGGGGATTTTTCTTATACATGGCATCCGGAAAGAATTCATAGCGCTTAGTACTTAAGTCGTGTTTTAGATCAGGACATAGCACAGAAACTTTAGTTAAGGTAGTTAATGACCTTCTCCTGTTTGCTGATTCGGGGGCTTGTGGTATTTAAGTGCTTTTAGACTTAGCCACAGTTTTTGACAAATTCTCATAGCATACTTTAGGACAGTGCTAAATGTGCTAAATTGGTTTATATCTTTCTGGACGTTCACAGTTAACCTATGTGTGGGGTTACAGATCGCGTACTGTTCCTTTATGTCATGGTGTCCCCCAAGGGTCAGAACTTGGTCCACTTCTCTTTAGTATTTTTATGTTGCCTCTAGGTCAAATCCTGCAAAAACTTGGTATAAGATATCAATGTTATGCCGATGACACACAGATTTATATTAACCCTTCTCCCAATTCATTGGCATCAATGTCATCTCTTAATGCTTGCTTAATTGAAATTAAAGCTTGGATGCAACATAATTATCTTAAACTGAATAGTTCAAAAACTAAGATTTTATTGGTTGGCACTACTCCTAATATCAAAAGGTGTAGTGAATTTGAGTTAACAGTTGATGGGTCTGTCTTATCACCATCTCTGCATGTGCGTAATCCTGTTCTCCTGGACTCCCAGCTTAATATGAAGCCTCATTTTAAACATTTAACTAAAACGGCCTTTTATCATCTTCGAAATATAGCCCGCTTATGTCCTCTCCTCTCGAGGCCTGATGCTGAAAGACTTGTCCATGCTTTTATCACGTCTCATTTAGATTTTTGTAATTATCTGTTTGGAGGGTTACCAGCTAACTCTCTCAAGATTTTACAATACACCCAAAATTCTGCTGCACGTGTGTTGACACATACATCATCTCGGTTTCACATCACAAGTTCCAGAATTTCTGCTGCTCTGAAAGTTCCAGTGAGCAAAGTGGCCTCCATCATCCGTAAGTGGAAGATGTTTGGAATCACCAGGACTCTTCCTAGAGCTGGCCGGCCATCTAAGCATCTAAGAGTGATCGGGGAGAAGGGCCTTAGTCAAGGAGGTGACCAATAACCCAATGGTCACCCTTACTGAGCTCCAGCGTTCTTCTGTGGAGAGAGAGGAGAAACTTACAGAAGGACAACCATCTGTGCAGCAATCCACCAATCAGGTCTCTATGGTAGAGTGGCCAGACGGAAGACACTCCCTGCCTGGAATTTGCCAAAAGACATCTGAAGGACTCTCAGATCATAAAAAAAAAACAAAATTCTCTGGTCTGACTGAACTCTTTGGAGTGAATGCCAGGTGATATGTTTGGAGAAAACCAGGCACTGCTCATCACCGGGCTAATACTATCCCTACAGTGAAGCATGGTGGTGGCAGCATCATGCTGTGGGGATGTTTTTCAGCAGCAGAAACTGGAAACCTAGTCAGTATAGAGGGAAAGATGAATGCAGCAATGTACAGAGACATCCTAAATAAAAACCTGCATCAGAGAGCTCTTGACCTCGGCCTGTGGCGGCGGTTCATCTTCCAGCAGGACAGTGACCCAAAGCACACTGCCAAAATATCAATGGAGTGGCTTCACAGCAACTCGGTGAATGTCCTTGAGTGGCCCAGCCAGACCTAAACCCTATTGAACATCTCTGGAGAGATCTAAAAAATATACGTACATATATGTATACGTACAAATATACGTAAATATATGTACACTGTCACTTCCCATCCAACCTGATAGAGCTTGAGAGGTACTGCTAAGAGGAATGGGCAAAAATTTCCAAGGACAGGTGTGCCAAGCTTGTGGCATCATATTCAAAAAGACTTGAAGCTGTAATTGTTGCCAAAGGTGCATCAACAAAGTATTGAGCAAAGGCTGTGCTTATGTCGATGTGATTTTTCAGTTTTTTTTATTTGTAATACATTTGCAACAATCTCAAAAAATCTTTTTTCACATTGCAATTATAGGGTATTGTGTGTAGAATTTTGAGGATGTAAATTTTAATCAATTTTGGAATAAGGCTGTAATATAAATAAATGTGAAAAATGTGAAGGGCTATGAATACTTTCGGGATGCACTGTACAATGACTTAATTGCACCTCAGAAAATGAAGACGAAATGCAATAAACACTGCTGTGCTTTAGGAAACGTGAGAGAGACAGTTCTGGAGGTAATAGTACTGAACCACTCTGATGACAGACTTTGGCTAAAGGATTTTAAAATGACCAAAACAACATCTCAGATGTTTTGCAATGTGGTCGGCCAATTGGTATGTTTATTAATGCAATCCAATCTTTTGCCAATACATGACTCTTAAAACAAGATGACTTTTTTGGTGTTCACACTGGAATTTCTTTGATAAATGTGGTTTCATCGTAGTTTATGTGCACTTTTTCTTATCGGATAAGAAGTTTTTGTTTTGTTAAGTGCATTTTTAAAATTTGTGTTCATCTTATAAGTATTTTTAAGCAGTATTGCAAAAAGCTTATAAAAATAGGTGGACAGAAGCATTGCTACTGTCAGTCAGTCCCCTCACTTATGCACTTCCATACTCTCACACTTTCTGCTTGTAGTGCAGTAATGTGCATGTCTGAAAAGACATTTGAACAACACATTGTGAAGAAATGATTGATCCCATGGTATGTACGTGTGTGTGTTTGAGTATATTGCACAGAGGAGTGGCAGCTGCAGCATAAGAGCGTTTCTCTCCTCTCTGCCTGCTACAGATGAACAGGTGGCTCAGAGCCTCTGAAAAGGTCATCCTAATTCAACTGACCTTGTTTAGCTGGCAGAAAGGGTAATTACTATCTGATTGCAAACACACAGTGCATCCTACCTGCAAAGATGACAACACTTGTTACCACAGCGTCTGAAGGCCATTGACAGACGCTTCAGCTCTAGCTACATTCACTCAAGTGAAAAACATGGAATATTTACCCTTAATTTGGAGCGAGTGTCTTTTGTCAGTGCCTGCAAGTAGCACAAACAGGTCAGCATCAGCATTAGTACAGAGTCTTTTCTTCTTTTCTTTTGGTTAATGAGCAAAACCACAGCCCCAGAGACCCATAGTGGAAGAGGTGGAGTTAAAATATAAAACAAGAAAGGGCAACTGTGGATATGAAAAATAATGAGATGTAACGATCATTAAAAGTTTGAGATATGTAAAGAAGCACCAACAATGTTCATTCAAAAGTTTGGGTTGGCATAATGTTTGGAAAATCTCTTACTGTAAAAATAGAGGTATTGTAAAATAACCGTTTTCTTATTCAGTGTTAGATGCTATTCCCGTATTGCTGTAATGTAATGCAGCTACACTGGGATCTCCATAAAAATGCTGCAAAGACCGGTCATTTTTTTCATAGCTTTCAAATTACGAATATATGTAGCACATATCAACAGAATGAAACAGACATAAGATTACAAACTGTAAATTGTGAGCACTTGCACCCGTTTTTTAGTCCCTTAAAACCCTCATGTCTTGTCAGAACTCCAATTCGGCGATGTTTACATCTACCTTTTGGATATTCCTCAATAATGTAGTCATTAGTGATGGCCTTGTAGCTCATAAGTGTTTGCTTTCATGTTTGGTTTAATTTTTTTAAGATTAATATTTGCTGGGAAATCTATTTGTTCACTTCTGCTATTTGTACTTTGACTTTCCATTTGAATTTATACTTTAATTGCATTCAAACTGTAGATTACAATAGAAACTTTATGAAAAGCATGCAAATGTACTGACAGTTATATGTACCATAGATTGTTATTTATAAAAATACAAATTTAATTCATGTGTAAAACTAAAATATCACATATAAAGATATGTGAATAAAGCAATGTTTCCATCCAAAGAGTCAAAGAGAACAAAATCAACACTTCCTGGTTAACTGGTATGGAGTCAATCTAGGGCCATATATACTTGCAAAATAAAAGAAAGTTTTGCAAACAAAAAATAAAGTACTGAGCAAAAATAATAATAATAAAAAAAATAAATAAATAAATGCAAATCTCCAAAAATTGCAAAGCAAAAATTAATTTGAGAAATAAAACAATTTGCTGAACAACAAAAAAAAGAAAAGAACTGCAAATAAAAATCAAGCAGTGCAATAAAAAAAAGCTAAAATATTAGCAAAAAAATAAAATAAATAAATAAAATAAACTATATCTATTTGCTAAACACTTTTATAGCATTGCATTTACAAAACCTGTCCATTCGATTGCAATGCTCATTTAGATTTTCTTTTCAGTCAACCGTAAGTTTACGATGCTGTTTTCACTTTGCACGTTTCTGCACGTTTCACCTTGTGGCCCTGATTTGATAAGTGGGCAGAGTCAAGTGAACTTGGGCGCTTAAGTCAGGCCCGGACCTGCCTCCATTTAAGCTATGTAGTTTATGTGTTTTTTTGGTACTGTTTGATTTTTATTTGCAGTTTTTTTTTTTTTTTTTGTTGCAAAATTAATTTTTATTTCGCAAAATTTGAGGTTTATTTTTTTTCCTCAATACTTTATTTTTTGTTAGCAAAGATTTATTTTATTTTGCAAGTATATATGACCCTAGATTGACTCCATAAACTGGTGCCAAATATCAAAAGTAAAAAAGTAATATGATGTGGTGGGAGAAGCTGTGTTAATCTTCTCTTTATTTAATAAATGACTTCGCCTCAGAAGATAAATGCCGACACGCAATGAACATGTGGTTGCGTTTGAAGGCGTGAGACACAGAGCACAGATGCTTTTGATTCTGGAGGTTATCAATAATATAATATCACTAATACTTAAAGGGTTAAAGCATTTTAGAAAGGCCACAACAACATTTCAGATGTTTTACAGTGTGCTCAGCCTGCTGGTTTATCCATTCACATACATTTTTATGATCACATGATCTCATAACAAAATCATATGACCTTTTTAATGTGCATATACTGGAATTTGTTCAGTGAAAGTGTTTCCCTTGTAATTTATCTGCATTTCTTATCAAACAAAAAGTTTATCCTTCGCACATATGGTTTCTGTGCATTTTCAAAACTTATGTGCATCTTGGCGTTTCCATCAACCATTTTTATGCGCATAAAAATAAGTGGGTGGAAACACAGCTAATGATGTTACCATTCTGCACAAATCCATAAATTTTTCCTTTCTGGCTGTTGTTTCTGTGAAGAAATACAGTAGAAGCACAGTCTAGGTTTCATGTTGATTGTTAATGCTGTATTTCATTGCGCAACAAATATCTGAGGTTTTTTTTGGCTAAAAAAGAGAAATTACTTAGTCAGGACATGGCGGTCAGCGAGAGATAGGAATGATTTGCCCGCCAGTGGGATGTTCCCCTTAATGCCTAATGATGTGACATCATTTGAAAACACCAGCCAGCTATTACTGCTGTCTTCGGTGTCGCAGTATCCTTTAGAAATCATTGCAGTATTCTGTTTTTTGGACTAACAATTGTATTGCATCAATTAAGTGTAAAGCAAAAAAAAAAAAAAAAAAAGAAAAGAAAAAGAAAGAAGAAAAAAATCATTTGAAATTGACACTTTTTGTTACAAAAAGTCAATCCTTGCAAAAAAAAAATGATAATTTAAAAAAACAATTATAATTAATTCCTTTCATACCCAAACATTTGAATGGATACATACTGTGTACACGCATATGCAATGCATTGTATATGCACTATGCAGTAATGCGAAAAAATATATATATATATTTAAGTATTACATATCCAATTTAAGCTGTAGAAGTATAATTAACAATGCCTCCAATGATTCGTTCACTACGCAACTCTCCTTGATTATTCCAAGATTGTGGAAACATTGGCATAAACGCAAAATGAACTATGCAGTTTTGAGTGTGTGCATGCTTGCGTGTGAAAAAGTCCAATTAATTAGCACCAAGTGTATTATATAGCTAGTTTGTTCACCAACCATTCATTATGAGAGGACGATTCAAAAAACTTCACAACATCAGAGTATTGCTTTCACTGTGTTTCAACTACGTATTTTGGACAATGCATAATTACAAAAGAGACCAATTACCCGCTAAATATTAATAATTTATTTTTTTTGAGAGCTGAACATTCTGTGCTCGTGCTAAATTGAAACAGCTCTTGTATTACATCCTGTAAACGGTACACTGTGCTAATCAATGACTTGCATTCTTGCAGGCGAGGCTCAAATACAAGCCAATCCCGATGGCCTCCTTTTAACTGCTTCTTGTTGTTTGTTCACATTAGCTGGAGTCTGCTGTGCTACAGGTGCTTGACTTAAATAACCTGGCATCTATTCTCATTTCAGCATGAAAGCCATCTAACAGACCAAGAGCTTTTAATAGGATGCTGTATTTGGCTGATATTTTGTATTAAATTCAGGGAAGTTTATAATCTTAACTGCTCTATTTTAAAATGGTTGCCCCCAAATTTGTAATTTAGATTTGGAAATTAAAGATAATACATGCATATTATACAGACAGTAGTCAACATTTGAAGTGGACCAAAAATGTGACAAGAATGGGTGTTGATCAATAGTTCTAGCACAAATTTGATGAAATGCAATGATCCACTTCACACAATAACCACTGTGATTTGTCATAAATTATGTTTATTATTATAAATTAGAAATGATGTGTATATATTTTTATGCGTACTGAAAAACATCCCAAATATGAGACGCAGTTAAAGTTAAAGGGTTAAAAAATGTTTATGTCATCTTAAATTTCTGGGTAATAATGCATATAGAGTCTTTGAAAGTATATTCTCAGTATTTTCTTGTACAGTAGAATGATGTGCTGAGACGATTACAAATATGCAATTTACAGGTTGGTATGGTGAAGCAAAGAAAGGCTGTGTAGCTTTCTAAACGCTGGATGGTGCTACATATGTATAAAGAAGATGTTTAGCATGAAATTGACTAGTTTGTTTGGGAAATCGGATGGAAAACGAGTATTTTGTAGTTCAGTTTGATGATACTGGCACTGCAGAAACCTTTACAGAGATCACTAAGAACGTTGTTTGGCTACAAAAGGGGTCTGAACAACAAAACAGAGCTGGAAGTGGCTGATCTTTACATAAAAATTAAAAAATAAAACAAACATAAAAATGCCACTTTATAACATGCATAAAGGCTAAAATTAATTGGACAACATTTTGTGAAATACAATTGCACTTAAAACGGCAGAAATCTCATGTATTAATTGCTTTTTAATTGCCAGTCAAACAGGCAGAAATTAATTTAAAGATATTTGGTGAAATATAACTACTTAAATGTGCTATATGTTACATTTTTTTCATGCATTAATGTATCATTTGCTTTTTCTGTATCGCCAATCTATGAACTGCTAGTAATGAGGCTTAAAAAATTAGACATTTTTCATAGTCAAATGTTGTCTATGCAAGCCTAATATTTATGAGATGTTTTCGGTGGAAAAAAAATCAAAGAGATTTGATGTTAGAAGAGTCTCTGAGGAGAGCATGTAAACGAGTAAAACTACTGATTTTACAAAGCTCAGGATAATGCGCAAATAGATCAATATCTCTATCATTTTGAACTTGTGGTTTCTGACATCTAAAGATAGCCCCTTTAATATGTATTTTTTGAGCTGTCTAATGAAAATATTCAAAATAATATATAAAAAAAGATATTTTAGATAAAACTGAAAAAATCTGTCATGGTTTACTAGCCCTTGTTTCAAACCTGTTTGACTTTTTTCTTCTTCTGAACACAAAAAAAATTATTTGGAAAAAGGTAAAATACCTGTGACTTAATTTGGAATTTGGTATTATTTCCACCTACTACAGAAGTCAGTGGTAACAAGTTTTCAGCTTTTTTTAAAACACCATCTTTAACGTTCAGAAGAAGAAAGAAAGTCATGAAGGTTTGAAATATCTTGAGTAAATAGCGAGTGAACTTTCATTTTGGGTGAACTGTCCCTTTAAGAAAATATTAAGCAACACAGTACAAGAATTATATCTAAAATATCAAGTGAAACTAAAATTCAGGGTAACACATTAGTTTAAGAAAAAATTACACCATTTACTATTGGCTTAATACATGCCTATTATTAAGATATCCAGTAAACTGTTTATTAGCAGTTATAAAGTATGATCTCCCTGATCATTCCTGATCCTACCTAATACCCTAACAACTACTTTACTAACTATTAATAAGCAGTCAATTAGTACTTTATTTAGCTAAAAGTCTTAGTTAAGGATTTGTTATTAGTGTTAATTTTACATTAAAATGTGACCACATTCATTATTAACATTGACATGGTATAACACTTTAGTTTAGATCACAATTCATGCTATTAACTGGCTTATTACTTGCCAATAATTAAGATATTAACTTTTAATTAATAGTTTTAATTGCTCTGAGTTAAAGTCCATCCGTATGTTACAGTAGGACCCTGATTATGCATCAATGGTCCAAAATCTCCCGCTCAAAACTTTGCCATGAAACCATTGGTCAGTAGAGAATGGGTGTGACTTGACCCATAGTTAAAACCCATCTTCTCCCCAAAATCTGGGCAGAAAGGTCCCAGCTAAAAGATCTCCACAGATGTGCCCCTGAGGGGGTTTCTGTACCCACATGACCCGCTTGAGTGCACGTTTCTTATTTTCCGGCATATTAAACTCAGTTTAAAGTTTGCGTCTCGCGTAACCTCCGATCTGCGTCGCAAGCTCCACGCATGAAGAAATTATTTCTTGTTGTTTTGTTTTGTACGTTTGTTTTTTATTTGTTAGACTAGTCAATAAATCATGCTATAACCACGTTGGATTGTCTTTGTTTTGCCTTACAGAAAAGGTAAATTTAACGATAAAGCCTTGCTACAAGCTTTACAAAAACCAGTTGACCAAAACTTCGAAACTATTCATCTACTTTACAAGTAGTAGTCATAATTCCCTTTCTAAATAAATAAATAAATAGAGTCTGATCAGACAAGCGGGCAAAGTCATTGTTATATTTATTATGTTTAATCAATTATTATTAATATAATTTATTATGTTTATATAACTATAATTCTGAATATTAATAATCAATAATAACATGTTATTATTGATCATTAATATTCATAAACTGAGCTAATTTCACTACAGTTACTGTTTAATAGTAGTTTTTAAGTACCTTATTCTGCATCCCTAATCCTACCCAAAACCTAAACCCAACTTCTACCTTACTAATAATAAGCAGTTAATAAATAGTTTATTAAGCTAGAGGTGTTAGTTAATGGTTTGTTTTATACTGTAAATTGTGACCTAAATTAAAGTGTTACCCCTAATCATACCAAAACCTTAACACAACTTCTACCTTACTAACTATTAATATACAGTTAATTAGGGGTTTATTAAGCTAATGGTGTCTTGAATGGTCTCTTAATATCATAAATTGTGACCCTTATCATAAATATCATAAATTGAGCCCTAAACTTTACAATATATATAGACAGTTATTTTCAACTGTACCAACATTTGCCTATTTTGACTGTATTTTTGAACAAATAAATGCACCCCAAGTGAGCATTTCTTTTAAAAACACCAAACTCCAAACTTCCGACTCATCCTCATCGTGCATATTCAGATTTCTAAAACAAATAGTAGTGTAATGTAATGCAAAAACACTGTTGCCCAATCTTGTGGTCAAATCCAGTTAGTACTGTAAATGCAGAAGCATTGCAATCCTCCCTAGAAGGAACAAAATCTGAACAACACCACCTGAATCATCAGCACCCCAGTGAAAATCTCCACCTGTAGACCCCACACATCCACCTTCAAAACCATCTCCATCCCAAAACCCTGATTTCAATCATCCCAGACACAAAACAGGCAATTAAAAAGCGTGTTATTAATTGAATGTCAGGAGCAGATGGAAACGGCTCCATGAATCTGCCGCAGATATTATATTAGCACCTGTGTTTAAGCTCACAGTGACTGATGGCTAAGCAGCATCTGCTCCTCACACATACATCCCATGATTCCTTGCTGTTCTGAGACCCTCCTTCCCCCTATGAGGAGTGTTTACCCGCGATTACATCAGCAAACCTTGACCGCTGTGTGTGTGTGTGTGTGTGTGTGTGTGTGTGTGTGTGTGTGTCCGTGTTAATGTGAGGGAGATTGAGGAGGGCTTCAGTGAGACCAGGAATCTTAATGAGCTGATTGGTCATTATGTGTTAATGAGGTGGCTGGCAATGTGATGATCACGTGTTCAGACTGGTGCAGGACCGGATTGTGCTTATGAAAAGAAGAGTTAAAGGAATAGTTCACCAAAAATAAAAAACAATTATAGCATCATTGTTTACTCACTGTAATGGGGATTTATGAGTACTTAGCATTTTATTATAGTAAACTAAAACTAAAGCAAAATAAAGGTTTTTATTACTTGAAACAAAATAAACCGCAACTAAAATAATAAATAAAAAATAAATACTGTAAAAAAAAACAACAACATTTATTATCATTATTAAATTTTATTCAAAATTTAGTTTACTGGTATATTAAACAAAGTAAACTGAATAATATAAATAAAAATAAGATATACGTGACTGTGTCCTTGCAGTTTCCTTTGCACAAATTTAGGTACATTTTCATAATAGATTTACAGCGAAGGAAACATTTTTTTATATAAAGATTGTAATAAAATTAAAAAAAACTATTTTACAGTACATGCACACTATAAAAGCTGCTAATGCAAGCTGTAATTCACTTAAATTGGCCCACCAATTTGAATGTGCGAATGCTCTGTTATCTCTCCCTCCTCTGGTCACATATCAGATCTGTTACTCTGATTTGTTCTGGAACCTCGCAATTAACAAAGAAGCACTGCATATTTATAAAAAACAATAACTAAATAACTTAAAATGACAAAAAAGGGACTTTAAAGTTGCATTAACAAAGAAACTACCAATTAAAAATGATCTACAAAGGAACAAATTAATCAGATTTATAAAATTAGTTTTCTTGTTAAATTGTAACATAAAAAATTGTAAATAAACAAATATATATTAAATAAAGTTTAAGCCAGAATTATTAGCCCCCCTGTTTATTTTTTTCCCCAATTTCTGTTTAATGGAGAGAAGATTTTTTAACACATTTCTAAACATAATAGTTTTAATAATTCATTTTTAAAAACGGATTTATTTTATCTTTGTCTTTTTTTATCCCTATCTAACAAAATTACTTACAATATTGGTCCAAAAATGAGTAGCCCAAACTTATATGTTATAGAAAAATATGAAATAAAAATTAAAATAAAGAGCAAAATTCAAGAGAAACAAATATTTGGTTGAAATTTACGTAGTTTGTATTCCCCTCCCCAACATTTCACATACATTTTATTGTATCATCTTTTTATTTCTAAAGGCACTTGGTGACTAAAATATTACTTTAATAGATATATCCATTTAATAAATGTGTTTTGCTCGAATGCAACCAAATATATGACCTATATTCACAGAGAAATGGATAAAAATATTAATTTTTTAAAAGATGTGAACCTAGTTATGCTGAGCATTGTAAAAAATAAATAAATTGGGGGAAAAATATACAAGGAGGATAATAATTCAGGGGGGCTAACTCTGACTTCAACTGTGTGTGTGTGTGTGTGTGTGTGTGTGTGTATACACACACATTCATGCAAATGTAAGATGTGTTTGCAATTAATTAATTAAATAAAAAAATAAAAATAAAGTGAAGAAATGTATAGCTATGAATTTTATATATTTTAATAAAACAATTTTAATAAAACTAAATCGATTTTTTTTGCAACTGGTCTAGAAAATAGCAGTTTAAACATTCTGCGGTATATAAGAGAAATAATAAATAAATAACTTAAATTGCATTAACAAAGAAAATATATATTTAAAATTGACAAAACCACAAATTAATCAGGTTTATAATATTTGATTTCTAGCTAAATTGTTACATAAAATGTTTGTGTATAAATACACATTTAATAGAACAAACTCATACACTGAAAAAAAAAAATTCTGCAAAACTGTTGCAAACAAATTATATGGGTTGAATTTAAACAAACAAATGAAATGTAGTAATGTTCAACTTAATTTGTTTGTTTAAATTAAGCCCAAATAAATTGCTCACAAGCACTTATGTTAACAAATGTTGTAAATCCATAATTTTTGATTTTTTTTTTCCAGTGTAGAAACAAATAGAACAACTAATAAAACCAAATGTTGCTTAAAACTTCTGCTAAGCATCTTTCATCTCGCATGGAAGACAAACAAAAAGGATTTGGATTCAAATGAGAATGAATAAATGACATAATTTTCACATTTCTGTGTAAACTATTCCCATAATATGATGTTTTCAACCCTTCCGGAAAGGCCAAAATGACAAACACATCACTCTTTAGCCTCTGGCCTTCAGATTGACTTGCCACTTTAGAAAGACAAGCTGGACATGAAAGATTCCAGTAAATGTGGAGAAAATGGGAGTTAGGAGCTTGTAGCCAAATTAAAGAGCTAAAGATACTAAAATGAAAGCATGGCCTTGACCGAGCGTCTGTAGATTGAGATGCGTGAGTCAGAGAGACGCCTCTGAGAGCTGTTTTTGGCAGTCTGAAAGAAAGCGAGAGGCGAGAGGTGAGTTCTGGTCATTTTGGCAGCACAACCCGACGGCGTTTGCCTGTCTGACCCCTGAAAACAAGCTGCAAATTGGAGTTGAGGCAGAAAATCCTACTCTTTTAAACAGGCGTCCAAAAGTGTTCTCGTCTTTCTTCTGCAAAATTGTGAAAATCAAAGGAACAGTCAGGAGGAATGTTTTTTTTTCTGTTTGTTTTGTGCACTGGGAAACGTAAATGAATCATCTGTTCAATCATTTAAAGCAATAGTTCAACTGAACACTTTCGATGCAATTACAATGAAAGTGGACTGGAGCTTTCAGGTTTAAAAGCAATATAAAAGCACAAGCATCATAAAAGTAGTTCAATGTTTTTAACCACATCTATGTTTGCCAATTTAAACCAAAATAGACTAATGATCTTCGTTTACTCTTCAGTTCTTAACCACTAGTAGATCAGGATCATTATATCTGAAGTTAAAGCTATTAAAAACATTTTTGGTAAACAAAAATAAAGCTAAAATAAACATTATAATACAAACATTTAATACATTATTTAATGATATGTATGAACGCTTTATTTAACCATTGTGTGCTGTTGAGGATGTTTTTTTATCCACTCTGGGGTGACTTTGAGGCCTAATTAGGCCACAACTTTCTCTAAGTTTCAGCAAATTGAATGATTTTTGGTGACAAGTCTTATTTTGACACATATTTTGAGAACTTCGGAAATCTTCAAACAATTACAGTTGTCAATACACTATGGGCAAATGTACTACACTTTCATTATGTTGTGGCAGTTTTTGTCAATTTGAATAATACACAAGGGCTTAACACTAGAATTAAACAAAATAACTTAAACTACAATTTAAGAAAGCTTATTATTGAATGAACTGAAAATTAACAAACTTTAAAATAATTTTAAATATAGTTAAAAGAAATATTCTTTCCTGAAGCGTAAAATTTCCAATCCAAGTTCATTGTAATGATCTTGGGGACAAGAGCAACAAGAACATGCTTTACAATCACTGATTTGGAGTTCTACAAAACAGTGCGTGTCAAAAGAGTGTGGAACAATGTGCTGGAATCAATCATAAATCTTTCAATATTCATTTTTGGGTGAAGTATTTTTGTATTCTGTGATATATACTTTCTGGGGGAGGGGGGAGGGGTGCTGTTTGGATTTTAAGCAAGCAAATAAAGCTGTGGAACTAAAAAAAAAAAAAAAACGAGAAAACTAGTAAATTCTCAATTTCTGTTGATTTATAATTTAATAGTTTGACAAGAAATTATTTTCTTTTTATTTTATAAACTTAGAGGCATAATTTACACTGAGGACATTCTATTAATTACTATTAATGCTAACAGGAAATGCCCCCCTCCCCCACATTTTTTATGACTTCTTTATCTGTGTGCTGGGATCGCAACAGAGGACAGAGAGAGCAATAATTCCAATAATAATGTCAAATAACCCTATATGGCAACGGCAAGCGGCAACAGACGATTTTAATGTCAATATTGATAAAAAAAGAAGACATGATTCAGTATAAAAGCTCAGGTCAGAATAATCATATTTTCTGCCAGACAGAATCTGTTCACATCTGTTGATGCTAGTCTAATGTGTAGGAATTTGTGCTGCGCAGACAATTAGCACTAGGTAATGTAAATATTTATTTTTATTTTCATTAACTAAAGGTGGCTGTTTATGCTTGAAGCACCATTAATAGGAGAATGACTAACATTTACAAATAACTTGCCTAAATATACATTTTGCTGCTGTCTATGTGCAGTTAATATTGCAAAATAGTGATTCAGCACACAGTTCATAAAATGTTTTTAATACATTTAGGTTATTTTTAAATCTTTTTTTTCCTGGATTTTGAAATCACCATACAGTAGTCCCTAAATATACATAAATGTAGTAAATGGGATTTGAATTGAAAACATTTCCCATTATTTTCGCCACACACAGAAACTGTTCCAACCAAAGTTACACTCGTGAAACTAATGATTTTTTCTGAATTTAAAATAAAAAATATTGTTGTTTAAAGCTTTTTTTTTTTTTTGCATTAACATGCCAATATTAAACATGTCTACATTAATGTTTAGATCAGGGGTGGGCAAACTCGAACCTGGAGGGCTGGTGTCCTGCACAGTTTAGCTCCAACACTAATCAAACACACCTGAACATCAGTGTCTTCAGGATCACTAGAAATCTATAAGCAGGTGTGTTTGATTAGAGTTGGAGCTAAACTGTGCAGGACACGGGCCCTCCAGGACCGAGTTTGCCCACCCCTGGTTTAGATGTAACCATACCACCAATTTTACTTCAGAAAAGTAAAGAAGTCAATATTTGTTTCTACAAGTTGTTATCCTGACCAATTGTCATTTCCTGAAGTAAAAAAGAAGAAATATTATCATACATTTATTTGACTAAATCAAATAACCCTGCTGAAAAATCCAGCTTAAACCAGCCTAGGCTGGTTGGCTGGTATTAGCTGGTTGACCAGCCTGGTTTTAGAGGGGTTTTGGCCATTTCCAGGCTGGTTTCCAGCAATTTCCAGGCTGGTCTTAGCTGGTCAGGCTGGAAAATAACCAGCTAAATCCAGCTAAAACCAGCTTGACCAGCCTGGTTTAAGCTGGACATAACTGGTTTCGGCTGGGCTCCCAGCCTGGCTAGGCTGGTCAAGCTGGTTTTAGCTGGTCATCTCCCAGCCTGACCAGCTAAGACCAGGCTGGAAATGGCCAAAACCTCTCTAAAACCAGGCTGGTCAACCAGCTAAAACCAGCCAACCAGCCTAGGCTGGTTTAAGCTGGATTTTTTAGCAGGGAAAACAAATATTTAGATTTTACTCAACCGTGTAGCTAAGAAATAAATTAAATCCACACAAAAAAGTCCATAGCTGTGCTAAAGAAATCACTGTGGTAAAAGTCCAACCCTAGTATCTTGATATTTGCTTACTTAAATCCAAACAACTTCTTTTTAATGAGTGTTTTGTGTGTGTTACTAATGGTAATATGCAGATGTTTATGTGTACAGACCTTGCTGCGTGAGTCCACATTGAGCAGGCACACTCCACACGCCAGCTCTTTGGCATTCTTAATGCCGTGCCTCAGTATACAGGAGGAGAAGTCCAGCGAGCTCTCATCAGGCTACAGAAAAACACACGCACACACTCAATGAATACAGTTCTTAAAAAGCAATTGTCCACAAATCCCTGCCTGTCTGTCAAACATCAGATGGCAGAGGCCAGTGAAGCAGCCCATCAGCCTCACAGCGGTTGATTGGCCCTGCAGATCAATACATCAGCTCAAATCTGCCCAAAACAGCAGGAAAAGCCTCCAACCCCTCCAAACCATGGTTATTTTTATTATACTTCTGAGCGTTTGTGGTTTTTCAGCGCTGTGCTGCGACTCGTATCCTCCCGAGCTGATATTATCTGACCGCACAGCTCTAATATTATCTGCTGGCATTGATATTCTCCCATGAGAGAACTGCATGACAAAGCACTGTTCGGCAATCTGTTCTATGCTATTGCACTTTCTGCAAATACGGTACGCTTTGGTGTTCTTATTGTGAGCGAATAATTCATTCAAGCATACATTTCATTTAGAAACAGTATTTTGTGTGATGCTTTGCGCAAAGGTGAAAATGATCAAATGCTCTTGTGCCATATAAGAAGCCAACTTTGATGTTGCACGCTTGTGTTCAGTTGCCTGCTCTTACGATTGCCACATTTCCACCATCAATTCTCTTTTTTATAATTCTACCCAAACATCTATCGCTAATTATTTTATCATGACAATAACATTGCTGTTCAGTAATCATTCCTGATTATTATTAATGTTAAAAACAGCTTTATATTTTTGTGGAAACTATATAATACCATTCAGAATAATTTTTTCCACTAACACTTTACAATAAGATTCTATGTAAGTACTGTAACTACTGCTAAATTGTCATACAAATGGTTTCATACAAATGATATAGTATTTAGTATACTTAAAATTTGTTTTTCCTACTATGGAAGTCAATGGCTGCAGGTTTTCAGTTCTTAAAAATATCTTCTTTAGTATTTAAAGCAATGGTCTCAAACTCAATTGCCGGAGGGCCATAGCTCTGCATAGTTTAGCGTCAACCATGTCCATCTCACACCTGCTTAATAGTCTCTAGTAATATTGAACACCTTGATTAGTTGGATCTGCTGTGATTGAGGTTAGAGTCTGAGACCTATGATTAAAAGGAAAATGCCTTGATGTTGTAATGTAATTCAAATATAATTAGTTAAATAGACTTAAGCATTCATTAAGTTGTTTAAGCATAAAACGAGATGAAAGGTCTTTCAAACGCAAGCCATTTTGTATCATGTCAAATAAAGTGTTTTCATTTAAACAATAACAAGGGCTTAAAGTGTTAAAGAATTGAACTGCTAAACTGAAGATTAGAAGTGAAATCAAGGCCTTTATCTCTTATTTTGTCTGTTTTTCTGGGTAAGTTCTGCAAACTCTTTCTTTTTAAGATATTTGGACCAGAAGATGGGGTTGGTACAGTGGTGGAGGCTGAGGGTGCGTCAAACAAAAATATCAGGCTATCTCAAATCGATCGCTCCACAGGAAATATGCATTTAATTAATGCTCTGCTGTTATTATTATTTCACAAAATCTCTGTCAACATTTTTAATAAAAGTTATTAGATTTAAGATTCAGTCTAATGATTATGACTATTTTCCCCGTCTCACTCACGGTTCATGTGTGCGCATGCTGCGTGTGAGAAAATAAAATGACAATGAACCTCAAGGCTCATACGTTGACTTTTTGTATAACAATTTTGTTGTTTAAATATGATATTGCACTAATTTGCACACATGTTTTATAAGCTGTAAATTGAAAGCCCCAGTTTGGTGCAGAGTTATCATTATACAAAAATCAAGAACATCTTTGGATTTGTTTGATTTGTAGATTATGTAGGCAATTTTAAAAACTGATAACAAATAAGAACTATTGATAACTGTAATTTTACAAATGGAAAAAAGGTTGTTTTTTTGGTTGTACATCAATAGCCTGTTTGTTAAGTGTATGACGTGGCTGCAGGCACCACAGAGGCGATCAGCATCAGCGCGGGTTTATGTCAACTCATCTACTGTATGTCAAACTGTGACCAGAAATATCCTTCTTTCATTTTGCTTCTTTGGCAAAATACGTCTGTAGACATGTGTGTTTGCACATGTTACTGTCCTGCGAGTTAACAAATATTCATTGCGCATTTAGGGGCCAATAACAAAGAGCACGCCTTTCCGTTCTAAAAACGTGAAGCACACAGCACTGGTTTTTATGTTGGCAAGATAAAAAGAAGCACAGTGCTATTTTGTATGTCACTAGGAAACGACTGAATCTGCTGACCTGTATTGTGCATGAGTCGTGTTGCTGTCGATGTTATGATTGTAATTTTTAAAAATATTGTGATATTCAAGATCTGTAAAGTAATACAGCTCTGGATAACTTGAAACAGCAACCACAAATATTTTCTCTATCATTAAAAGTTTGACATAGTCGCCTTGACAACATAAACCCTGCTGTTACCTCAATAGAAAGCATGCAGTGCTTTCATTTGATTGAAGAATGAAAAAAACGCGACTGACGTAACATACTTTTTCCGCTCGAGCACACAGCACACAACGGCAAAACGTGAGGCGCCCATGGCAGCGCGTAAAACACTTGCGACCTTTAGTAAACCATTCAACAGATGCCTCTCTTAACGCAAAAATCGCATTCGCTGTGATCAGCCCCTTATGCAGCCAAACTTTAAAAATATATAAAATTATATATTTTTTACTCGTTTAACCGATACCATTAATATGTTACCAACGTACCCTTTCGGTTAATTGATTATTTTGAGCATACCTAATTAAACCGCATACACAGCCTCTAAAATATTATATTTGTTTCCCTCATGGCCGCACGCCGGAGATCCGACACAGTGCCGGAATACTTTAAGCCCTGCATGTATATTCTGAAACCCACTTTATATCAAAAATCAATCAGGCAGTGAAAATCATTGGTTTTTCAAAGCAAACAGACCTTAAACACAGCAATTTTAGAACGACATAGGGTTCACCGCAATCGCTTGAACTGGGTTAAAAATCTCAGATGGAGATTGATGGCTCTGGCAACTGTTACTGAGTAACTATGGTTATATCTTATCTTTAAGGGTGTCATGTTTATTTAGAACCATAAACAAACTGACTGGAACAACCCATGCATTAGATTTTATAGCACACCTTTCAGCCAGTCAGAATAAAGAATTTCACCAGACCTAACTAAAATTAATGGAGCCATATTAAAAAATATTTAATTATAAATCACCGGTAAATTGTTAGTCATTATTTGTGAGTGAATGGTGCAATTGACTACCAATACAATACCATACTATATATTAATAAACTCACTGTGAGGTTTGCCAGCGACATGAAGCCCATCAGGTTGTTCCACACGCGGCTGATGTCTTTAAGCAGCTCTTGTAGTTTTTCTGAACAAACGGCTGTGGCTTTGATTCCCAGCTCTACACGCTTGGTCACACGATACACCTCCACCACACCTAATGATAGATACACACAAAAATATGTAAATATTCTCAAACCCATTATGAACACAATTCAAATTATTAATATCAAGAAAATTGAGTCCAAATGACTCAAATCCCCGATTTTGGTGAAAACACAAACAAACAATAAAACAAAAAAAGAATCTGCAAAATGGGTTATGTGTAATAACAATGAAATGACACAAGGAGAAAGTACTGAACTGCTGAAACATATTTAATACTTTATATAAAAGGTTTTTTGGTGATGGTAGCTTAAAGAGGCCCTTATATGGAGAATGAAGTCACATGAACTGCTTCAACAGAGAGTAAAAATCTTGATGGTTTTGTGGGTCTCGTCTATCAAATCTGATTTTTAATTTGTATTTTCTATTGGATTCAAGTCAAGTGATTGACTGGGCTATTCTACACCTACCATTTTCTTTCCCTGAAATCATTTGAGAGTTTCCTTGGCTGTGTCTTGGCTGTGTTTTGCTGAATGTTCACCCTGGTTTCATCTTTATCTTCCTGCTAATGTAAATGATGGTCTGAAGCAGCTGATAATAATTTACAATAAGGAAGGGCAGAGGGTTGCTGAAGAACTACTGAGAGATTTCTGCTGCTGTCTGGGCTTTAACTGCCTTTCTACACCTCCCTCTGTTCACGTGTTCAATACTTTTTCCTGTGTCATTACATTTTATTACACATAACTTGTAAACTATATATATTTGTTTTCTTTGCATATATGAATTTCTTTATTTGTTACAAACATCCAGGAAAAAGTTAACAGCACCTTTAGAAATATATTTTCTGAAAAAAATGATGATGTGTTCAATACTTTTTTCTCTGCTGTATATATAGCGAAATTCATAAAATGTTCAGGACAATACACTATAGACACTGCACCTAAAATCACGTATGTGTTTATTAAGACAGTCATCATGTGAGGCTTAGAATCCCTGTGCATGTCTGCTTAATGTAATTGTGGACAATCTAAAACTGAAAAAATTAGGGGATCAACATTAAAAACAATGACTGGCTGGGCTTCACATCTAATGTGGTTAAAAACAAAGGAAGCAAGGGGAAAATGAAGTCAGTGTTAAACACTATGGGGATAACTGAAAAAAGGGAAATTTAATGCAGAAGGTACTTATTTACATGTTTTTTTTTTTTTTTCGGAATGTTCTTTGCATGAATATGCTTTATCACAGACTAATACGTAGAATAGAAATACATAAAAAAAAATAATTCAAAAAATCGTTGTTTTATCATGACTGACAGAATTATTATATGCAACTGGAAATGCCCCAGAGCTGAAAGACATGTTGGTGTATGCTAAGAAATAAATAATGAGAGTGAGCAAAGAACATGGGATCACTTCTGGCACCTTATAAAAATACGGATAAACCAGCAAGACTTCTTATACTTCTGTATAGACTGTATGGATAAATGTGTAACTGCACTGATCACTGATCACTGATCACACACACACACACACACACACACACACACACACACACACACACACACACGCACACACGCACACACGCACACACACACGCACACACACACACACACTGTCTGCACTGTCTACAGACAGAGCTCTATTTACTCTGAAATACACAAAATAATCATACAGTTGACACGATATAAACGTTAAACAAAAAATAGACCTTCATGATGGCATTGAATAAATGTAGAATTCATATACCTCACATTTACTGTTTCCTCAAAATGGAAGCAAATTGTTTTTTTCCTTCTGATGCGCTGTGAAGAAATGGGATCTTCACAAAGCTGCTGTTTTTTTAAACAAGATAAGATGTAGCATATACACTACCTGGCAAAAGTCTTGTCGTCGATCCCAATTGTAAGAGCAACAAATATTAACTTGATTTCTATTTGATCATTTGGACAAGTGGCAGAACGTACATTTTTTAAACGAATCATCTTTGATCTGCATCATAATCATCACAAATACTGCAGAAGACCTATTGGAACCCGCATGGAGCCAAGATTCTCATAGAAATCAATCAAGTTTGGTGAAGGAAAAATCCTGGTTTGTGGTTACATTTAACAAGGGGGCATGCGAGAGATCTGCAGAGTGGATATCAACATCAACAGCCTGAGGTATCAAGACATTTGTGCTGCCCATTACATTACAAACCACAGGAGGGGGCAAATTCTTCAGCAGGATAGCGCTTCTTCACATACTTCAGCCTCCACATCAAAGTTCCTGAAAGCAAAGAAGGTGCTACAGGATTTACCAGCCCAGTCACCAGATATGAACTTTATTGGGCATAATCGAGAGGCCTTTGCATTTTATATGAGCCACTTAATTCATTTTCTTTTCGGCTTAGTCCCTTTTTTAATCCGGGGTCACCACAGCGGAATGAACCGCCAACTTATCCAGCACGTTTTTACGCAGTGGATGCCCTTCCAGCCGCAACCCATCTCTGGGAACATATAAGCCACTTCTGACACCAAAAGATCAACAAGAAGTCAAGTTATTATTTGTCTTTACTAAAACTTGGATAGGCGACAAGACTTTTGTCTGGTTGTGTATTTTATGTCAAACACAGACAATGCAGACTTACAGACCTTTTTTACGAGAAGCTTTCTTCTTCGTTGTAACATTCACCACACAGTGAGCAGTGAATAAATGAACGAGTCAGTTGTTGTGGAAACCGTGTTTCTAGTTTCCTCTTGGCATCAATTCGATAGCAACCAAAATGAACGCTTTAAGCATACTCATAACACTATCTGACCAAATGGATTTAAGTGCAGTGTGAACAATGCCTGCATGTGTGTATGTATGTTGAGAGAACCAAACAGGAGAAACAATAAAATAGCAGCACCATTGCCAGCACTCCCCAATGCTGAATGTCCTTTTAAGCTACACCCATTAGAGCTGCCCAGAATAGTTGCTCTGCTCTGTAACACAAGCCTCCCCCCGGTCAGACCCACAATGCCTTGCTCGGTAAATGCTAGAGCTGGATCAAAGAGCTTTAACGGTTTGTTTCTACGTAACGGCAGCACCTCGTGTTCCCCTCCTGCCAGCATGAGCACGTACAGCTCATTAAAATTGTCCTGTGTGTGTGAGCGAGAGCACTGAAATAGGAGGTAACCAGAACACCTGGCCTGTCTGTTTGACTGAAGACTACAGGGTTGAATGAGGAATCGCTATCAATGTGGTTGAAGGCATTACACAAGTTTAACTGATGTCTGGTTTCTGATCATTAAATCAAGTCTGACTGTAGTCTCACCCAGAAGGTACTCCATGCCCTGCGCCGACTGGATGACTTCCGTGCACACTGTGGAGCTGCTGATGCCATTGAGGGTGTTATTGGCGGTGGTGATGACCTGAAAGGGGAAGAACAGACAATCATAAATTCATATAGCTAATATATGCAGAGAAAACACCCCAAATTAGCATACTGTAACCCAAAGAAGTGACACTGTAGGGGAACAATTAAACCTAGTAGATGAATTCAGAACATGATGACAGCCAATGTAATGAAAGTTAATGAGGTCCACTGCTTTGCATTGGCAAAATATTTTTGGAAATCTCTTCTACGCCCAAACACACCTCAGAGACTTGACTGAACTTTTTGCTTCTGTATGGGATGAAATAATTCTCCATACCAGCAGGAAGTGTGTGTATTTGTCATTCAAAAAGGAAAAACATACAACCAATCAGCATGCTTTCTTTCACTAATAGGCTTCACTGTTTATGCAACATGCTCAGTCTACAACAAAGCTGCTAACACACTTTCATATCTGCACAGACTGGCCCTTAACGATGGCCTGACGTTGTCTGACCACCAGACTGGTGTGTCAAGCCCTACAAGAGTGCTTTCAATGGTGGCCCAAATAAAAGGCTAGCATGGGCCAACTTTGGCCTGCAGGTCATAGTTTGGGCATCTCTGTTCTAAATGAATGATGTAATGGAGAAACAAATACATAACACCTACTGGAGAAACAACGTTCTGTTATTGATATCTTCATTTTAAGAGTCAGGGTACTTACATGTTAGAAAATCCACACCAATTTTGACATCAATACAATCAACCAAAATAATGCTGATTAGCCACTCCAATGGTGAAATGTCATTGGTTCAAAATCCTACACTGTAAAACTGTTTATCCTGTCTAGCTATGACTACACATTAAAACCCATGCAGCTTTAACCCTGTACCTCAGACACTAGCAGTGCATGTAAATGACCTCCTCTGATTGGCTATGGTTAATACTTGTGAAAAGAGTTTATGTCTGCTGAATAAAAAACCAGTGATTTGGTGGAAGCAGTGATTTATTAAGTGAATATGACAAGACTATCTAAAGAATGATATGGTTATATAAGCAAGAGCAAAACTCTATATGGGAATGTATGTGGGGGTATACATTACCTGTAGAGCGCTCTCCAAACACCTCTGCCATTCATACGCGTATCGCTCACTCTCCTGCCAGTTTAGAGCAGAGACAGTGGGAGAAACAGATGAAACAGAATGAGAGCTTTGTTCATTGAGAAACCTCAGGCTGTATTCAACAAGGAGTAGCTGTCTGTGTGCTTGAAGAGATGAGGAGGAAAAGAATAGAAAGAGTGACTGACTAACTGACCTCAACCTCTCCTGTAAGGTCCTTGTACTTGTCGCGGATGATCGGCAGCGCTGGTTTTTCATTTAGGGTGTTGGATCGGTCTCTGAAGGGCTGCTCAGGGGCAGGAGAGGGGATGGAGCGTACAATTTCCTTTTCTCCCAGACTGTGGCTGCGCTTATGGGAACCTTTGCCAAAAATAAACAGGTCAATGAAAAATGAGAGTGTCCATGATAAAGAAAATGAGTCTGCATGCATGCCAAGTTCTTAGAAACATTGCCTTTATTTTAATGCAGGAAATTTTTAGGCTTAAACTTTTTTTTCTTTTTTAACAATTTGAAAATTAATGTTCATAAATACCATTACAATAAAACTACCAAGTTAAAGTTGAAGTAAACAAGTTTCTTTACATTGAGAATACATGTGAGTAAACATATTTACTGTGTTTAACGTATTATTAAAGGTTAAAATGATTACTTTTTACAAATACCCAAAATAGTATCCATAATAACTATTATAAGGAAATTATAATTAGACAGTTATTTATCAAGATAAAACGATGATTGCATAATATCTCACTCCCTTTTAAGCAGTGTACATTTGTTGAGATTTAATAAGAAAAAAAAACAAGTTCTTTAAATATATCCTTACACTGAAGACGCTTAAAGCACAGTTTGTTTCATTTGTATATTTTTATTATATTGCTTTTATTTTCTTTACATAACTGTGAGAACTTTTTGCTAGTTTGTTTTTTGGGTCCCACTTTATATTAAGTGGCCTTAACTAATATGTACTTACACAGGAATAAATAGTTTGTTGTAAAGTACTGTACTTATTGTGTAAATACATGTATTTACTGTGTACTTATGCTTGATTAAATACATGTATGTAATTACATCTGTAATTAACTTTTGTGATTACATTTGTAAATACACTGTTGACCATCCCTTACATCTTAACCCACCTTTAAACCTACCCATGCCACCAAACCTGTCCATAACCCAACCTTTATCCCAACACAAAAGCACCACAAGTGTTCTCAAATATATTATAAACACAGTAAGTACATTGCATTTATTTTTTGTGGCAAGTACATAGTAGTTAAGGACACTCAATATAAAGTGGGACGGTTTTTTGTACTATATACTGTATATATAGTAAATATTTCCCCAACTCTTTTTGGTCATATGGCACACTTATAATCGTTTTAAATAATCATGATTACAATTATGACTAAAATAATAATCATGTTTATGATTTATCCCATACTTAAGTAGCTAAACACTACATAAAGCTTTTATCATTTAAAACAAAACCCCCCCAAAAAATTCAATAAACATTTTTTTGTTTTGCGCATTCACATAAACACGTAGGGGTGTCCCAATTCTCTTTAGGTTAAAGGCGTAGGGCTAAAAGGAAGGGCTAGAAAGCCCTTGAAACCAGTATGGCTGCACACGGAAGGAGATGCACAAATTAAAAACATTTTTGTCATTATTATGAATTTTTACAACAAACAAGCATGTTTTAATATATTCATAACAGTCTTTATGTTTTACCATCATGCTTAAAAATAAAAAATAAAAATGCTAAATTTACATATCTATAATCCTTAATAATAACTCTAGTTTAGTAGTCCCACAATATTCCTTCACATCTGACACTCAAATAACCTGTCAGAAAAGTTTAGTGGCTGGGAAGTAGCTTTAAAATGCGTCTGGTATAATGTTAATGTTGTTTGTGCGTTTAGATGAATGTCTAACGCACAGTACAGTTACGAGCTTATTGCCACATTATATCGTTATGATAACATCATATTGTTGCCTTCAGATAAATACCAAAAAATAACACAACTCGATTAACTACAGCAGTTGCCATAGCCTATCTGCTTTGAAGTAAGAGAACGTGATGTCATGTGATGATGTGTGCTGGGGTTCTAAGGCAGTAGTTGATTTTCAAAAATTATATATATTTTATTAAAGTATTAGAATTATCATATTTGATCAATTATTATATATATTTTTGTGATTACTGGGGTTATTATGCTAGATTAACATCACAGGAATAGCATTAGTTGCAGCAGATTGATTTTGTGGTACAATATTAAACTTTAACACCTTTATGGCACTCACATACATTTAAAATTAAGGCCACGACTGAACAAGGAGAATGTTCTCCAAGTAGCTCCACGTCTTCAAAATTATATCAAGAATAGTCTTTTCATATAAACATTGTGCTCACCATTCCCATTAAGTGAGGTTAATATTAAAACAAACAAATGAATAATGATTATAAAAAAGATATGGTTGTCAGACTGTTGATTTTTTTTTGTGCTGCCAACATGTTTATATAGTTTCTATTGGTGTGTGCGCACCATTGTGTGCAATATTTGTACGCTTATAACCACCTCCGAGCATAGTGGGGGTCGCGAGCCACTGAAGTTGTTATTTTAGGGGTCACGGGCTGAAAAGTTTAAATACCCCTGTTTAGGGTTGTAACAATATACCGGTATGACGGTTTACCACGACTTGAACGTGCACGATTATCATACCATGAACAATTGCATATCAACGGTTTTAACCCTTAAAGACCGAGACAGCCGCCCAGGGCCGGATTAACCAATGGGCCTTATGGGCACAGGCCCAGGGGCCCGTGCACACTAGGGGCCCCTGCGAGGGGGGAGAAAAAAAGACAATTTCGGAGTGTCTTTTTAGGCTAATTGTAAATAGCGCATCTAGTTGGACTAAGCTATTCAGGGTTTACGCCCATCGATGCCTGATTGATAGAGACAAGATGAGTAAAGAGCTGTGAAATTATACAGCCGCAGTGGCGCACTTTGTAAGGCACACGGCATCATCTTTTGACGCGATTATACATAACATCGGTTCGAATCCACCATCAGTTGAACTCGTGCTACTTTTTTTTCTCCCCATTACATATCAGATTGGAAATATATTTATTTTTAACAGGAAAGAAACATTTTTTAAAATTAATGCAAATGTGATATAAAGTCACAAGTGTCTCGTGGGTATTTAATAATGTTTAGCCTTATTATAGGCGCCTGCCGCGCCTCCCTCTCTTCAAAAACTCTATTGCTCAGACAACTGTATTTCCTCTGAGCAAAAAAATCGCGATCACATATTAATATTATTATTATATTTAAATTGCCTTTCTTTCTTTAACTAAACAGAATGCTGTAATTGGTCAAGCGCGGAAACGTCAGTTTTGTAATAACCCGCACTAATCTGAGCGGACTTTAGTGTAACGTTATATCTGTCATAGATCAAAAATGAGTGGACAAGTGGATTTAGCAAACACGAGAGAAAGGAGAGGAGGCATCTTCATTGAGGCATTTTCCATACACACCTTCTTTAAACAGACCCGTGATAAGGAGAATGAGGGTACAGAGGACGACGTTAACTTTAAAGAGTCACGAAACACCAAAACACATTTTTTGAGCTGTTGAAAGTCGTATATGTGTCCCACACTGCTAAAAACACTATTAGGACAACTATATTTCACTAAAAAGTGTAAATTGGTTGTTTTTGCGTTATTTCAAGCAAAGTTGTACTTCCTGTTTGAAACGAATTTTTGAAGCTGCGTCACGGCCATGACATAATAGCGTGTATTCCAGCATGCAGACTGGGCGTCTGTGCCTGAGTACGTCTTATTACGTCTTACAGTGTGATACATTAATGCATGAGTAAGGCTTGGTTCAAACCAATCAGCGCGCTCTATTGTGGAACTTCATTAATATTCATTAGTGTCACCGTGTTTACGCCACAAAGACGCCACGTTGTGTTGGCAAAACAAGCGTGAAGTGTTGCTTTTATAGTTTGCTGCCGTTAAGTTTCGTTTTCATTTTCTCTCTGTGAGAGCTCAGTCTCACGTGTGGATTAACAATGTACGCGACGCTCGACAACAATAACTTACGTGTCTGAGGATTATTGTTTACCTGAGAGCTGTTCTCATCTGCAAACGCTGAAATCTGAATTCGCTTGTAGTATTCTCTCCATAAAGACGCGGCTCTAGTTGCTGGTGATAGTCCTGTCTCTACAGATTTGGTAAGTGAGCGACCAGTGCTCTTTGTTTATTCAGTTTGTTCGTATCGAATTAAGTTAACTATTGCACTGAGTGCAGAAATGTTAGCACCGCATTTTGTGACCAGAATAACACACGCGGCTTTCTGACACTACCTGCCGTGTGCATCTAAGTTTCCGGGAAATGCGGAGTTTTTTTCTCTCTCATTCGCCGTGCGGTATCAAACATTGCATGAAAAATACACGCTTGCAGCAGTTCCTTGAATCAAATATCACATTTGTCGCGAGAGGCATGAATGAATTCCCTAAATGAAAGAGCCAAACTGCAGTTAAAGTCCACCATTTAATAATTTGGCAAATAATTTGACTACAGATGTCCATGTAAACACAGTCACATTGTCCGCTGTGGTTGTGTATTTTGACTCTGAAACTCGCGCGTGCACAAATAGACACTCCCACACCATCCCACTTTAGTTCCTCCGACACTCCCCCCTAAACAGAGCTGGACACGCCCACTTTTCTGACTTTTTCCAAAGTAGAGGTGTGAAAACACCCTGCTGAAACGAGGGGGTTTCATGGCCCTTTAAATGATGAGTAGCTAGCATTAACCAGGCGGATGAGGCTAACGGCAGCGCAGCTCGAACTGGATTCATCGTGTGAGAGACAGACAGAAAGGGAGAGAGAGAGGGAGAGAGAGAGAAAGGCCCAGAAGAGGAGAGAGAGGGGAGAGAAGAGGTATAGTGTCTGTGATTTCGGATACTTTTAGGTTTATAATCAAGTCTTCATCACGAGAAGAGTAGAGAAAATACAGGGAGAGGAGGAGAGAGACAGTAAATTAGTGTTTGTATTATGAAAGACTCAGATTGATAGAACTCAGATTCATAGAACTGGATTAGAGAAGCATTGTGCGTTATATGCCATGGCAATAATATGCTTTATAAGTTTGTAAAAGCAATACACTAAAATACCCTTAAAAATGTATATATATATATATATATGTATGTAGTTTTATTAGTATTTTTATTTAATGCTTTGAAAAATAAGTTAAATCTTTGCAGACTATAAATACATATGTACTATATATCATTTATTTTAATATGTGGGCAACAAATTATAGATTCATTTTATTTAAAAATTATTATATTATTCTT